GCACAAACAATACCATGTACCACATGTTTAATTACAGCCTTGGAGAATAAAAGAGCCTTAGGTGGAAGTCAGATTCTGGCCTTTCTGTGCTTTGGAGGTTAATAACTGATCTGGCACAGTCCTGGTGAATTAGAGGAACTCTAAAACAGTTTAACCATTGAATGACCCCCCTAAATCATCTGTGAGATTTAATCATACAGTCTCTGGAATCTAGTTGATGAAATTATCCTATCATCATCATTACTGTGGTTGGATGAACAGCTACTTTCAGGGCTAGAGGGATGGTGGGAATAAACAAAAATCTAAGAGTAATTGCTTTTTTAGAAACCCCAAAAGAACAGGTGTCATTTAATTGGACTGTCCTAGGCATGTCAAGGAGCAAATTTAGAACTGACATGTTATAGTATCAAGAATTATTGGAACAGTTTTCTTTGGCCGATAATACTAGGTTCCCCGTTTAAAAAATCTTTCTTTCTTTGATGTAGCACCCACAGTAAAACAATCTTCTGATCTAATTGTTCACCTGTGGCTAAGTGAAATTTTTGCCAGGATTTGAGAATAATTTCTCTCGCTGAAAATCAGTCACTTCCTACTGAAGTTAATATCTAACCCAATAGATTAGAACATTATCTGTAAGCCAAGAGAAATTAATTTGTTTTTCATTATGTATGGATAAATTAATCTCATTAAAACTAACTGCAAATAGAATATATTAATAAGGGCTATAATTTCTAATTTCTCTAAAAAACAAAGCAAGATTTTAAATACTGATTCCACTGCTTATGACCTGTGATCACAAGTAAGTATATTGATTTCTCTCTGCTTTTATTTTACTCACACACAAAATAGGGCTAACATGGAGATTGTTTTGAAGATTAGTCTATTTTTGCCATCTTTTTAAGTACTTCAGTTGTCAACAAAATTACCTTATCTTTATTCATCCCCACTCAAAAAAAAAAAAAAAAAAAAAACCAAGCTGTCAGGAAAATTAATGGATGTCTTGATTGCCACATCCAATGATTTTCTGTCTTCACTCTCTTGAGATGGCTTCACTATTTGGTAGTTTAGTCTTTTAATCAAGAAATTACTTTCCTTGGCTTCTTTGATAATTTTATCTTCCATCTTTCTTCTGACTCCACGAGAGCTCTTTTCTCTCTTTAAATGCAATCATTGTTAATGTTTCGTGGTCATTTATTTTTGTCTCATTTAACACACTTGTCAATGCCCAATATTACCTGTTCAGTGGTAACCCAAAATTGTTACCTCTATGTTCATCTTTCTTCTAGATTAATCGAGATATCCTACAGACATTAAAGTTATCATATATCCCAAATTCCAAATTACTTTTATCCCCTTATATCACAAAATGTCCTAAACTGAAAGCCTTTAGTTATTTTTTAATTGCCATCACAATTACCATCACCATCATTATCACTGTCAGAAATGTAATATCTACCTGTTATTGAATGTTCACTGTAATCCAGCAATCATTAAAGAATTTGGGAACGCTATCTTATTTAATCACCCAAACACTCCAGGTAACAATATAAGAAAACGATTGTAAGTGAGGTTAAACCAATCACCTATAATGTTATTGTTATCAGGTGGCAAAGCTGAAATTGTATCATCATTTCATTTGATACCCAAGGCTATGATCTACTACTCTCTGTTGCCTCTCTCACTGTAATTCATCATTTTCAATCACTTCCTAAGGACACTTAGTTATATCTGAAATGTGCCTGAAACTTGTCTCATCTGCTTATTATCCTCCTAGTTCAGGTTTTTACTATTTCACTTCTAAACCAATTTAAGACACATTTTTGCCAACTCATTTAAATTAAAAAGAAATAAATTCCTTGCTTTTCAAGAAGGCAACACTTTTGTTCATCTTTATTTTTATTCTCTTAAGATATTCCTTAGTTTCAAGTGTATATGTGCATGTTTGTTATTTAGGTAAACTGCACATCGTGGAGGTTTGGCTACAGAATATTTTGTTATTTACATGATAAGCATAGTACCCAATAGGTAGTTTTTCTATCTCAGCCTCCTATTACCCTCCCACCTTGAATTGACCTTGTTGTCTATTGTTTCCTTCTTTGTGTCTATTTCTACTCAATGCTTAGCTCCTACTTATAGATGGGAATATGTGGCACTTGGTTTTCTGTTCCTGCATTAGTTCACTTAAGATAATGTCCTCCAGCTCCATCCATGTTGCTGCACAAATATAATCTCATTCTTTTATTTTATGGCTTTGCAGTATTCCAGGGTGTACATGTGCCACATTTTCTTTATCTGGTCTACCGTGGGTGGAAATTTAGGTTAATTTCACATATTTGCTATTGTTAATAGTGCTGTGCTAAACATACGTGTGCACTTTTTATGGTAGAATAGTATATTAATCTGTTTTCACACTGCTGATAAAGATATACCCAAGACTGGGTGGTTTATAAAAGAAAGAAGTTTGTTGGACTTACAGTTCCACATGGCTGGGGAGGCCTCACAATCATGGTGGAAGGCAAGAAAGAGAAAGTCACATTTTATGTGGATGGCAGCAGGCAAAGACAGCTTCTGCAGGGAAACTCACATTTTTAAAACCATCAGATCTTGTGAGACTTATTAATTATCATGAGAACAGCATGGTAAAGATCCATTCCTAAGATTCAATTATGTCCCACTGGATTTCTGCCACAACAAATGGGAAATGGAAGCTACAGGATGAGATTTGGGTGGAGACAGAGAGCCAAACCAGATCAAATGGTTTATATCCCTTTGAGTATATACCCAATAATGGGATTGCCAGGTTGAATGGTAATTCTGTTTTAAGTTCTTTGAGAGATGACCAAACAGCTTTCCACAATGGCTGAACTAATTTACATTCCCACTAGTAGTGTTTGAGTATTCCCTTTTCTCCCCAACCCCACAAGCACTTATTATTTTTTGACTTTTTAATAACAGTCATTCTGACTGGTGTGAGATAGTATCTCCTTGCAGTTTTGCTTTGCATTTCTCTAACAAGTAATGATATTGAGCATATTTTCATATGCTTATTGGTCCTGTGTATATCTTCTTTTAAAAAGTGTGTTTATGTCCTTTGCCCACTATTTAGTGGGGTTTTTTTTTTTTTGCTTGTAAATTTGTTTAAGTTCCTTAGTTATCAGACTTTTCTTAGATGCATAGTTTGCAAATATTTTCTTCCATTCTATGAGTTGTCTGTTTACCCTACTGATGTTTTCTTTTGCTCTGCAGGAGGTCTCTAGTTTAATTAGGTTCCATTTGTGAAGTTTTATTTTTGTTGCAATTACTTTTGGCATCTTTGTCATAAGATTGTCGCTTGTTCCTATGTCCAAAATGGCATTTCCTTGGTTTTCTTCCAGGGTTTTTATAGTCTTAAGTTTTACATTTAAGTCTTTTTTTTTGAGATGGAGTCTCATTCTGTTACCCAGGCTGGAGTGCAGTGGCACAATCTCGGCTCACTGCAACCACTGCCTCCCAGGTTCCAGTGATTCTCCTGCCTCAGTCCCCTGAATAACTAGGATTGCAGGCATGCACCACCATGCCAGGCTAATTTTTGTAATTTTAGTAGAGATGGGGTTTCACCATGTTGGCCAGGCTGGTCTTGACCTCAGGTGATCCACCCATCTCAGCCTTCGAATGTGCTGGATTACAAACATGAGCCACTGCACCCGTCCTACATTTACGTCTTTAATATATCTTGATTTGATTTATATGTGGTTTTAGGAAGGGGTTCAGTTTCAGTCTTCTGCATAGTGTTAGCCAGTTATCACAGTGTCATTTATTGAATTGGGAGTACTTTATTGTTATTATTGAATTTTTTAAGGAACGGATGGTTGTAGGTGTATGGCTGTATTTCTGGGCTTTCTATTCCATTCCATTGGTCTATATGTTTGTTAATGTACCAGTAACATACTATTTTGGTTATTATAGTCCTATAATATAAAGTTCAGTGATATGATACTTCCAGCATTGTTCATTTTGCTTATGATTGCCTTGGCTCTTTGGGCTCTTTTTGGGCTCCCTATCATTTTAGAATATTTTTTTCTAATTCTGCAAAAAATGTCATTGGTAGTTTGATAGGAATAGCATTGAATCTGTACATTGCTTTGGAAAAGCCTGGTCATTTTAACAATATTGATTCTTCTTGTACCTGAGCATAGAATGTTTTTCCATCTGTTTGTGTTGTCTCTGATTTCCTTCAGCAGTGTTTCGTAATTCTTGTTGTAGAGATCTTCTTTCATGTTAACCTTGAAAAGTCTGATGACTATGTGTCTCGGGGATGTTCACCTTGTATATTATTTTTCAGGGTCTGTCTGCATTTTCTGAATTTAAATGTTGGCCTTTCTAGCAAGGTCATGGAAATTTTCATGAACAATATCCTCAAATATGTTTTCCAAGTTTCTTGCTTTCTCTCTCTCTCTTTCAGGAATGTCAATGAATTGTAGATTTGGTCTCTTTATATAATCTCATGTTTCTTAGAGGTTTCGTTCAGTCTTTTTTTTTTTTTTTTTTTGTTTTTGTCTGACTGAAATGATTTGAAAAATTGGGTCTTCAAGCTCTTAAATTCTTTCCTTATCTTGGTCTATTGTGCTGTTAATACTTGCAATTGTATTATGAAATTCTTTTCATGAGTTTCCCAACTCTATCAAATCAGCTTGGTTCTTTCTTGAAATGGCTATTTCATCTTTCAGCTCCTATATAGGTTTTCTGGTCTCCTTAGAATCCTTGAATTAGATTTTGACTTTCTGCTGAATCATGATGATCTTCATTTCTATCTGGATTCTGAATTCTAAGTTTGTCATGTCAGCCATTTCATTTAGGACTATTACTGGAGAATTAGTGTGGTCATTTGTAGGTAAAAAGGCACTCTGGCTTTTTACTACAGGGTTCTTGCTCTGGTTCTTTCTCATCTGTATGGGCTGATTTCCTTTAAACTTTGAAGTTGCTATCCTTTGGTTGGGTTTTTTTTTTTTTACTTTGATACTAAAAGTATGGAATGCTTCACAAATTCGCATGGCATCTTTGCACAGGGACCATGCTAATCTTCTCTGTATTATTCCAATTTTAGTACATGTGCTGGTGAAGTAAGCGCAAAAATGGAAAATAGCCTCAATCATGGTTTGCTATTATTATGTCAATGTTAAAAACGTGGCATACACCTTTTATTGAATTAATTTGATTCTATTAGATTAGTAAATCAGGTAAAATAAATCTAATTGGGATGCAAGTGTTGTACTTTTAATGAAGAAAAATATACTGAATATAATCCAGAGTAAACCATTAACTTTTCATATTATTCTATTACAATTTTATATTATTTTATTTTTATAGATTTGGAAGTTACAACCACAGTTTTGTTACATGGCTATATGGCATAGTTGTGATGTCTGAGATTTTAATGTAACATTGAACTCTTTAGATAATTTATTATCCTTAACCAACCTCCCATGTTTCTAAGTCTCTGATGTCTATTAGTCCACTCTCTGTGTTCACATGTACACATTATTTAGCTCCAATTTATAAGTAAGAATATCTGGTATTTGACTTTCTGTTTCTGAGTTATCTCACTGAAGATAATGGCCTCCATTTCCATTCATGTTGCCACAGAAGACGTGGTTTCATATTTTTATGGATGAGTAGAATTCCATGGGGTGTGTGTGTGTGCATGTGTGTGTCTGTGTGCCTATTGCATTTTATTTTTTTAATCATTCATTAATGAACACTTAGGTTGATTGAATATCTTTGCATTTTTAATATTGCTGTAATACATGAGTGCAGATATCTTTTGGATATAATGATTTATTTTTCTTTGGGTATGTATTCAGTAGAGGGATTGCTGGATTGAATGGTAGTTCTGTTTTTAGTTCTTTGAGAAATTTCCCTACTGCTTTTAATGGAGATTGTATTCATTTACATTCCCAGCAATGCTGTATGTTCTGCTTTCTTTGCATCCTCACCAACATTTGTTATTATTATTATTTACATTTTATTAAGAGCCATTCTGACTAGTGTAAAATGGTACTTCATTGTGGTTTTAAGTTGCATTTCTCTGATGATAAGTGATGTGGAACACTTTTTCATATGCCTGTTGGCTTCCTGTGTATCTTCCTTTGATAATTGACTGTTCATGTTCTTTGCCCAACTTTTAAAGATTATTTGATTTTTCCTGTTGAGACATTCAAGTTCCTTGAAGATTCTGGATATTAGTCTTTTGCTGAATGCATAGCTTGCAATTATTTTCTCCTATGCTGTAAGTTCTCTGTACACTCCGTTAATTATTTCTTTCACTCTGCAGGAGTTTTTAGTTTAAAATTTCATTTGTTTATTTTTGTTTTTGTTATATTTGCTTTTGAGATCTTGATTATTATTTTTTTGCCTGGGCCAATGTCCAGAAGAGGTGTTTTTAGGTTTTCTTCTAGGATTTTTAGAGTTTCAGGCTTTATGTTTAAGTCTTTACTCCATTTTGAGTTAATTTTTGTGTATGGTGAGTGATAGCGGTCCAGTTTCATTCTTCTGTATGGGGCTGTCAAATTTTTCCAGCACCATTTATTGTACAGGGTATCCTTTCCTCAGTGTATGTTTTTGTGGACTTTGTCAAAGGTCACTTGGCTGTAGGTGTGTGACTTTTCTTGGTAATTTTTTTTTATACTAAAGATGTTAACTAAATCACATGCAAAAAATCAATGTTTATAGAATGAGTCAGTGTAATTAATATGTAACAGAGCCTTCCTATTCAAAGTAATGCTTTTCAAAACTATCCAATATGCCAGGTTCACAGTAACTAGTATCTGTTGAAGGCTGAAATAGTATCAAAAATTGTTCTAAGCACTTTATATTAATCAAATTATTTAATTATCATACCAATCCCAATTTGCAAATGAGAATTTAAGGCACACAGAAGTGAAGTGATTTGCTCACAAAGCCAACATTTAATGCCTGACAGTCTAGCTCCAAAGCCAAAGCCTTAAATTATCTAGTCCATAAACACATTTTTAATAGAAAGAATCAAGAAACATCTAATATATCCATAATAATTGCTATTGCACATTGTTTTTGTATTTATCATTATAGTTGATATTTAAAAGATAGGGTGGATAGTATGCAATTTGAGCAATCATGTAACACATTACTAATAGAGACTTCTTATATTACAAACTTAATGACAAAGAAAAAAATGTGTGCTCATTTAAATGCAGGTGGAATTCAAATACCAGAGCCTCTATGAAGAAGTGCTGCTAATGCTATTTCAGCAAAACAATGGAGAACAGATCAACAAACAAACTTATTTTTATGTGATACTTTCCAGTATCTTAATCACTGATTCACAAGATGATTTCCCCCCTAGTTGTAAAAGAAAGTGTTAATTTTTCCCCAGGGGGAAACCATTCATGACATATTACCTTGGACAATGGGTTAAAACTGAAGCATTCACCTTTCTGAGATTATCAAACAGTGAAGTGAACTGGTATACCTGCCCTCCATAAATGGTTTCAACCTCCTAGACCCTTAACCAATTGTGTTGTAAAGCGTAGTGTAGTAATAGTTACTGCAGATGACTTTTTCAAGGAAAATGGACAAAGTACCTAGAAATTCAAACAAGTTCATATAGTTTGACTTAATTTATTGCATTTAATTAGTATTGCCCTGTGTTTTTCTTTCTTTTTCATTTTCCAAAGTTTATTTTTTTCTACCTTATCAGGAATGTTTTGTTAGAGACCTACTTATTTTTCCTTTTTTAAATTTGTGGAGTATACTTAGAATTCCTCTTGTAGTTCTCGTTCTTAGTCTTAAAGAGAAACAGTCCAGATGCCAGATAATCTATATACATTATGTGATTCCTTGAGTGCCTCCTTTATTCCTCACTTTAATAAAATGTTAGTTGTTTTACATGATCTCATTTGCATTCTGCAGTCTTATTAGCATTCATCATAATCACAGAGATAAATCACCAAGATAAATCATCCCTTATTTCTTAGGTGCTTCATCACTTTCCTGCTTCATCTCACAGAACTTTTACAGAAAAAGAAAGCTTGTAAAAAGATTATCTTTCTTCTGTGAAATCTCATTATATCTAAAATATTGTGAGTCTAATTATTTTAAGTTTTTGGGTTTCAAAGAACATGAAGAACTGTCTTTTCCTCATATCTTATTATCGGTGATCTTATGACATATCATTCTTAGACAATCTGAATAATCTCAAAGTAACAGGGGACATTTTGGATATAAAATATTAGCTGAAAAATTAAAAAGTGATTGTTGAAAGATGAAGCACAATCAATAACACTTTTCTAAGAGAATGCACTGATTTGATTTTCCTTGCAGAACTGCAATACTGTCTTGATTCAATCAATAATTTTTTAAATGGGGATTTTGTTACATAACTTCTTAAAGTTCCCAACAAGTATGTGGGAATGACATTGAGCATATCTGAATAACCTTTTCTTTTTAAAAATGTTATATTAGTTTAAAGAAAGAACTTATACTTGGAGGTTAGATTAAGCTTAAAATAAAAAAAAGTTCAATTAGAATATCATTTTTATAAAATTTAGTTAGCATACACATGTCTAGATGCAGAGATCAAAATCTGAACATATACTTTAAGGAGAATTATAATAAACAGTATTGAGTCCATGCAGAATAATGAGAAAACTATTGCTAGAAAGGAGGATGTCATTGAAAGCACTATGTATTTTAGCAAACATTTCTAAAATGAAAACAATCTTAAAATTCATATCCTCAAAGCAGTGGCATCCACCGTTACAGATATTGTAATAGCAACATACGCAATGCAATGTAATACGTTATTTATTCATGATGTTTCTTCAGTGGCTTTATGAAAAAAACACTTTAAAATGGCTTTGTTTTGATTCTCATCTAAGTGGCTGTGAGTTCTAACCTAATTTTTTACCTATTTGACTTTATAGAAAAATGGAGACAGTTCAATTTCAGACCTCTGAACATGGAGTACTGATGAGAGCCAGTTAATCAAAACAGTGCTTGGGCATAACTGTACACAGCAAACAATTTCATGATTTCATTATTTTCATTGTTTTCAATTTTAAGCAATATAAGATAGAGATAAATGGACTAAATGAAAATCAAGAGATTACAAGGAACTACAAATAGAATTACCATTTGACCCAACAGTCTCATTACTGGGTATATACTCAAAGGAAAATAAATCATTCTACCGAAAAGACACCTGCTCTCAAATGTTTATTGCTGTAGTATTGACAATAGAAAATACGTGGAATCAACCTAGGCACCCATCAGTGATGGACTGGATAAAGAAAATGCGGTCACCATGGGATACTACACAGCCATAAAAATGGAAACCATGTCCTTTTCAGCAACTCGGATGCAGCTGGAGGTCATTAGCCTAAGTAAATTAACACTGAAACAGAACATCAAATACTGCACGTTACCACTTATAAGTGGGAGCTAAACGGTGGGTACACATGAACACAAAGATGGGAACAATAGACACGGAGACTCCAAAAGTGGGGAGGAAAGGAGGAGAGAAAGGGTTGAAAAACTACCTATTTCATGTACCTACTAGATGTTGAAAATCTACCTATTTCGATGACAGGTTCAACTGAAAGCAAACCTCAGCATCATGCAATGTATACATGTAACAAACATCCACATGTACCCCCAAATCTAAAATTAAAAAAATAATATTAAAAATAAAGATGCAGAAAACAAAAAAAGTTTGAAAAATTCCAAAAAATTAAGCTTGTATAAATCATCTTAAATAAATCAGTCCTAAATTTTTATAATGCTTATTTCCAATCTTCTAGTTTTCTTCTGCTTCTTTTAAGAAAACTTAATCTTAGTAAAATACACCTAGATTATTTAGCTCTTTTTTTGCGTTGTTTACCAACAATGATGACATACTTTTTCTAGAGTTGATCTATAATACTGTAATTACCTGTAACATATAATTAAGTCTATAATATATAAGTAAGTCACACAACCATTTTTAGAAAAGTTACATCTTCAGTATTTGGCAAGTGCATCAAATATCATCTTAGCATTCTGTTCCCTATGTATACCGTGGGGTTGCACATTCATGTCACTCAAAGGCAGTAT